TATAAAAAAAGAAACAAATCAAAAAATAAATGAAAGAGCCATCAAGAAACTACTGTTCCAATTTCCACTGTTACTCCATCATTAAAATTACGCCAATAAACGGCCCTTCAAACCATACCTGTATGCTTATATCAGTAATTTCTATTTTATGAATAACGACACTTGAACAGCTTGTGTTAAGCTTATGAGATGAACTGCACCCAACTGATGCCACTTTTCCGACAACTTTATTACCACAAGTTTCACTTGGTTGACTTTTCTACTTTTCCTGCCCCACTATAAGCACTGTAAATCCCGAGCTGCCCTAAGACATCCAAAATAATGATCTGAACTACAAGTAACAAGCGGATACTTTGACAAAATTAAAACAAAGGTAGTATCACTCCGTGGCTCAAACAAGCCAATTAACATCTCCTCTCCTACCTCGCTCTCCTCTAAAAAAATGAAGCACTTATTGGCCTACGAAAGAATGAGTAAATCTTTTACATCCCAGCAGTAGCATTCCCGGCAATGATACAGATAGTCTGATGAAAAAAAGTTCCGCAAAACAAACGAAAAACAAAAGCTAATCTAAATCTCTTGACGACAATTCCCTCTCTACCCCCCCCCTCCCCCAAAAAAAAGTGCAGGTGCAGGACTATACTGTTTCCCCTTAACCAATCTTTTTCATTAAAATGCAGTTAACCACTTTATTTCCTAAACTTTTCATAAATTCAAGAAAAAATGGATATATATTGTAACAGCAGAGAAATTAACCGACCTACGTAATGATCAAACGTCCAATGATTAGCAAATGTATGTCGTGGCGGAATGCAGTCATGAAGCAGTTAATTTTATACGTATTACAAATTGACAATAGGTTACCGGAGATTATTCCAGACAACAACAACTAGAGCAACAAGTTTACGGGACAAGGAATTATCATTTCTAAATAACAACCTTTATACCGACTTCCGAAACAAAACATAACTCAGGCAAAAGTTCTCACTTTTATAACGCAATTTTGAGCTCCTAACTTCGTTTAAAAAAAAAAAAACTATGCCTAATTTGGATAAACCTAACGCTTTTCTGGAAACGAATTAAGATACCCTAAACGCACTGCCGGTGTTGTGAAAAACTATGCAATTCTCACCAAAATAATTCATGTTTCTTACAAGAGTTTTTCTTCCTGAATATAAAGCACTGAGATAAATGCAAAATGACAGCCTTAACGAACTTATACTGGTTGAACAACTAGGTAAAGAACAAACATGTTGAGAACAACAAACAATGAATAAATATCAACAATAAACTCCTACGAAACAAGATACAAAAAAGCGAAATAAATCTTCAAAACAAAAATATCCTCAGGCTCAAATATGGCATTCCCAAAAAAGAAAGCGTGTTGGCAAAACCATAACAATAATCACAGCACTTAACTACCTTTTAACAAACACAATTTTGAATGGTACTTACTCTGCACGATGAAAAGTAGGAACAGAATGAAGAACTTATTCTGCAAAAAAAGATAAGAGAACCAAACAAAAAAAGCCATAAAAGCAATAAGAAACGAATTCGGGTATATCAGCGGTAAACCAACAACCTTATAGAGATGCGTTATCACAAGCTATGTGCAGCCCGAAGACCAAAAACACAAATCGGCTTCGCTTTTGGTCTTATAATGACTCGTGGCTAACAGTCGACCCTTGCCTTCCGTAAACCAACACTCTACCCTAAACTGAAGATTTACATGTAATTTAGTAATTGAATGCTCTTTTCACTACATCAATACTTCATGTCAACTGTTTCCCTCAGTAGTCCTTCGATAAGTAACAAAAAAAAAAAAAAAGGAAGGACCAAGCAAACTATTTGTAACAGCGAAAAAAATGAATAACTGTGCAGCTAATGGAAAAATTCATTCAACTAAAAGATCATTTTAAAAGCTAAGAAGTTTCAATAGAACAAAAGAGCTTCTTCAACGACCAAAAAGCCTCTTTGCACTCTCTCTTGCACTATTCTGGGAAAAAATCAAAAATATAACGAAAATGAACGGTATAACTTAGGATCCGGAAGTAATGTGTTTGAAGGCTAATTAAAAGGAATCCTAATCTGTAAAAAAGAACATAACTAAAAAAACTAGTTTACTAGAAAATATCTAGGACTTTATCCTTTAGTTACCGTCACGCCGGTCTGAATTTCCGCATTGCTTTTGCTAAAGATATCTTTTTTTTATCTTCTTCAAACTTTGCTCGCAACTCTTCCAATCCTGAAAATGAAATGAGTTGAACCATTTCTAGAGAACGATATAATAAATAAAAGTGTAGAGGAATAATAAAGCAAACGTTCCGAAAAAAGCAGATAAAATTAAACTAACTTTTTAATTTTGATTCCTTTACATGGAAAGAGTAGAACGCCACATCCACTTGCTGAAAACAGGCAACTACCTATAGCAACTACGAAAGATTCAAAGCTTTCTTAAACTTCAGACCATATAATCAAAACTATTTATAGAAGGAAGCTCAAAGAAACTTCCTAAAAGACTTAAAAGTTTCCTCCCCAAGAATAAAAGAATTTCATGCTTAATCTTCTAAAAATATGAGCAACTAAACACCAATCATTTTAAAGCTGACTAACCGACTTTTTCTTCTTTTTAATATTACTTTTTACCCCGTCCTTACTTGCGACTACCGCCTTTGGTGGCACACGTTTGCTACCTGAAGGCAAAGTTTTTAAATGTAAATGGAAACAGATAAAGACTGGAGACGCGGAAAATCTAAAAAAAACCTTTACGAGTAACTGTAATCCATCCCTCGTCATCAGGCACATTTCTCATGTTCTTTGCAATGCGCTTTTCCTGAAAGATAAAAAATCAGAACGATTCAACTTGGATAGAAAAGATGTATCAAAGAAAACCAAGTAACATAAACTGGAGGTCGTTAAGACTCTCAAAATACCTCCAGTATCCTACTATCGTAGGCGTCCATAAACTCATCAACTTGCTTTTGTAACTCGTCGGCTGGCACATATGTTTTGCGATAATCCTCAGCAAATTCTGCAATCAGAGAATAACAGTCAGTAAAGTATGTGAATAAGAAAAATGAATGAACTTGCCTCATAGTTCGAGCAGTGATTAATTATATCCACTTCAAAAATTTAGCCGAAAGTTCCTTAAAAAAACTTTCAGCTAAACATTTGAAGAAATTTAATTGAAAATGGCGACTTTTCATCAATGAAAAAAACTTCCATAAAAAGTAAAGCAACTTGAAAAAAAACCAAACTGATCCTTAGTTCTAAAGCATTCAAGCAAAAAAACTGCTACCGTACTGTCGAATTTCGCATTTTAAGAACAATCTTGTATTATCTGAATGCAGCAGTTGTAAAAGAAAAAGTGGAGTGTTACTATGTAAGCAAGAAAGTTTCAATACTTATTTCGCTTACAAATCAGACCCCACAATTAAAAGATAATATTTCTCAATAAAACGAGCAAATTGAAGCTGAATGGCATAAGCTCAATGTAATACAAAAATACCCATTTCAAAAAGCACAGAATCATTCCTGGACTAGCGTAAATAACTTCAGATAAATGACTTCAAGTAAACCCTTTGGAGTAAAACGGCATTAGAGATTCTTTTGTAAACTGCTTCAACAGGGGAATCTTTCTAGTTTTCTTCAGTATTCTGTACTTTCGTAAAACATGTATAAAACCTTACAAACTGATATCCCTTTGAAGCTCTAAGGTATATGTTTCTCACACTATCATTCATTTTCTAGTCCGCCTTCATCTGAAGTGTTGTCTTTAAAAAGAAACTACACAGTTTTTAAAACAAAAAACCTCAGTAAGCAATATGAACAAAAAAAAGGAGACTTGCAGGTCCACACGGTGATGGATGGATGCCCTCGTCAGATAAATGAATAAGAGGAATTTTTTCGCAACATCTTAAAACGCCCTCAACCTTGTTTTCATCGGAAAGTCGAACTCTTATTGTTTTGTAACCCTTAAAAATAATGACATTACTGTAGTACGGTAGGCTAATCTCCACACTGTATAACAAATTTGTACCTGATGTAAATCTCCGTTTAACGAGGTAGAGCGCAGAAGAATAACTTCCTTTAATGCAGATGCAGATGTAAAGTACTTTAAAAAAAGTTGTTTAACTGCTTCCTGGAAAGATACATTATACAGAGTCGCTAAAATGCCATTATAACATAAGGAAGGATTAGGGCAGAAGCAATGTTTAAAAAATCCACCGATAAAAATATTGGAAAACAGTGAATAAAGTTGCAGTAGATACTATAACAAACTGACGAAAGCAAATTCTTTTACAATTTCTGCTTTAAAAGATATGTTTAAAAACTTTAACTATATTACCACAGTGATGTATGAAGGAACATTAGTAACGGTAATACACTCCAGGTCAGATGGATCTCGTTTCAGAAAAATATTTCTTTCAGTGCAAAATTTTTCATTGATACAATACCGAAGAGCTAAAATAAATTATGTAAAATAATGATGTAAATTATTTAAAAAGTAGTATTACCTCTTAAGCAGTTAAAATCGAAAGACTGTCCCGCGGAATCACCGGAATCTTCTTCAGCAAAAACCTCAATTTTTGGAACTGCTTGCTTCTTTTTCTTTACTTTTTTTCCCAACTTCTGTTTGGTAACTTTTTTTAGCTTACCCATTAAACGATATAGGCAGAAATTTCCTAACAACGATATGTGACTGGCAAACACTTGACTCTAAACCTGTTCAATGTATAGTTGCAGTCTCACGAACAATCTTTACAGCACAAAGTAACACCGTGGGCGATCACGAATACATACCAAAACACAAATTTCTTTTTAAAATAGACAGAGCAATTCTCTATCAAAATGATTGTTGTTGAAATCTCTCCTTACAGATCTATAAGCTCAGCAGAGACTCAAATTTAAAAATCAGGATCTATTTCAACATTTCTAAATTTTCAACAAAGTAACAGTTTTTTGCGTTTGAAGGTTTCAGTAAAAACCCTTATAACATTCAACATACCAAGAAATAAAAAAAGAAGGAGAAGCTTCTGTAAAAAAGCTTAAAAAAGATCGTACTTCAGCAAAACACATTTTAGCTGAGTTTCATGGATTAGTACCTCAAGGCTTACTGTTCCAGCCGAGCGCTATTCATATGAAACAGAAAAATTTCTTTGGCGCATTTCCAAGAAGTTTTTATTGTTATCAGGTTTTCGCATTAAGTATTATTGCTTTTTCGGAAGTAGATCGGAGGCAAACTTGATCACCGTTCGACCACTCATTTTCTCCTGCTTCATTTACGCCTATTTCCTTGTGATCATATTGGAAGCGGTCAGCCACTGGAAGACTAGTAAACTCCAAGAATATAAGGATGCAGCAAGGAATGTTTAATGGAAGTACTTTTTCAACGAATGATTAGCACTGTTTCGAATATATTATCTATAATACTTTAGTAGAGTCTAAGGCAGTATACAGAAAGCCGAAAAAAACGTGAAAAGGCGAATTACCCGCCAAGTTACACCCGCTCGAAGTTGCAAAATTTGCCAGGTTGCAGCTTGACGCGCATACTCGTAATTTTCCTTTTTCCTTATAGAATTTAGAAATTTTTGTTCATTAGATTTGTCATGACCTGCTTTTTTAAAAGCACATTCAACTATTCAATTCAGTTAAAAAACTACGTAAATACAATGAAAATAGCATTTCAAACGATCATTTGAAAAAACAAAGTTTTAATTTTTTTAAAAAGGCATGTTTTGCGCAGAATTTTTACCTTTATGACATATCAAAATTTGAAGGTGGCGATCTTTCAGTATCGAGAGCTACGAACAGGAATGGAAGGTGAAACTGGAAAAGGTCCACTATTATTGCAGTAGCCTCATATATTTTACAGTAGTGAAACCGTACGCGGTCCCTTCTGAAGGCCGCAGCGAGCACCTTCAAGTAGCCGGTACAATTTGAACGCTGAAAACTTGTCACAAAGGTTGTATTTTACTTCAATAATATTAACAATTATTATACTACACAGTTGTAAGAGGTAACCTTCACTTCAGCGTTTTCTACTTCTTGTATTTCGTGGTTTCTAAGCTCTTAGAAATGTCTCCTTTTTGTACTCCTTTAAGTTTTGATTGCACAAGCGAAGAGAAGCTTGACTTAATGTTCTTGTTCAAAATGATGTGCTGTAGTTTCCCAGAAACTTAGTAGGTTTTGCGAGAAATTTTAGTTCAACAGCTACCAAGGTAAAGCAGTATGTTCTTCTTTGCGACACCAAAATGTACACTACCTACACAGTTTTGACAGATCAAAAGACGAGAGTTAGAAAACGCTGGAGTGAAGGCTACCTCTCACAGCTCTGCAGAGTAATAATTTGTTAATTTTATCAAAGTAAAGTACAACTTTGGTAACAAGTTTTTAACGTTTAAAGCATACTGAATATTTGTAGTTGCTGGCTGCGGTCTTCAGAGGCGGCTCTGGTCGGTTTCGCCAATGTAAAATATATGGGATTACTGTAAAAATAGTGGGTTTTTTTCAGTTTTACATTTCATTCCTGCTCATAACTTTAGATACCGAAAAATCGCTATTTCCAAATTTTAATATTTTGTAGAGCAAAAAATTCTGCGCTAAATATGTCTTTTTTAGAAAATTTAAATATTCGTTTTTTTTATTGATTCTTTGAAATTTTATTTTTATTGTATTTATGTAATTTTTAACAGAATTAAAATAATAAAGACGTTTTCAAAAGCTCAGGCATGACAAATCGAATGAACAAAAAATTGCCAAATTCTATTAAGAAGAAGCTACATTAGAAGTCTGGAAAGGTAGGCAC